TTGCTGCTCTTCCTTTTAAATTCTTCTCTCTTCTCATGCTTGGGGGAGAACTTCCCTTTGCAGCAGACTGCCTTGTCTCTGAAATGGCTACATGGTGTCTGTGTGCAGGTTCACAACCTGAGCCAGCACTACAGGAAGAGGCCCTGAGCAGAAAAGGGAAGTTCTCCCCCAGTATGAGAAGAGAGAAGAATTTAAAAGGAAGAGCAGCAAAGAGAAGGGAAACTACCATGGATTACAGTAAGGCGCACATTACAGTATTGTTTTATGTTAAAAAATCTGAGGCTTTAATGTCACTTTAAGTATAAGTAAACCCGATCACCAAAATCTCATAGAAGCTTTAAAGTGACACTCAACTTAAAAATTAATTTAAGTCCCTTAAAGGAGAACTATGAGGGGGGGAGGGGGGTGATTTTCACTCACCTCATAGTTCTAGCCGACCTGTGACAATGAGACTGTCACAGGTCGGCTCAGTAGATCAGGAAGTGAGGGAACACATACCGGCGTTCGCTCACCTCTCGATCCTGTCACGCCTCTCTGCCGTGACAGGGGAGGGGCTGGATTCCCCCCTCCCCGCTCCGATCCGCCAGCGCTGACTGGCGGAACGGATGGGGGAGGAGGCGGGAACAGCTGGCTCTGCCTCTAGATAGGCGGAGCCAGCTGTCACTTACGCAGCTGGGCGGATCCAGACATAAAATTGCCGGGATCCGTTTCAGCTGCGGCGTCTCAGTATACCGCGAGCTGCAGCTCCCTATATACTGAGCTTAGGGTGACGGGAGGACGCTAGTTTGTGTCCTCCCGTTACCCTAAGGACAACTATGGGAAAAAGCCCTAACCCCATAGTTCTCCTTTAAAGGGACTGGGATGTATTTTAAGATTTAACTCCTGAGTTTACTGTCACTGCACCATGTTAATGTCATTTTAAGTCATTGTCAGTATCTTTAAATCTGCAGCTTTCATTAAACTTACCCTTAGTGGTTGTGACATAAAGGTCCTTGTTCTGGGGCATCCTGTCCGCTTTGCCCCGGGCTCCCAGTTGTGTCCCTGCATTGAGAAATGCCCTGCAGCCATCGCTGGATTGCAAGCAGACAGAAAGTGGCCGCAAAGAAAGCGCAGGAGATCAACTGCACTGAAAATAGAGGATGAAAAATGGTGAAAAGAAGGCGTTTAATAAAAATGACAGTTGTCTACGATACACAGCACACATAGGAAATTGGATGCTATTCCGTTGGAACTGAGGCCTTGTTCACACCAAGCGCGTTCCAGGAGCGGAGCAGTTACAGACCGGATCCAAACTGCGTCCAATGTATTCCAATGGCTCTAGTTCACACCGCGGCGTTCAGTTCCAGAGCATGTAAAAAAAACTACAGCAAGCCCTATTTTTCCAGCTCTGGAACGCATGCAAACGCTTCAAAAACACATGCAAACGCCCGGAAACGCACTGAAAGCCCATTGTCAACGGAAAAAAAATAATGGTTTTGTTTTTTTCTCAAAAACGGCCCGGAACGCATCAAAAAACGCGGCAAAAATGCGGCACAACCCACTGCAGAAACTCATGCAGATCTGGTCTGCATTTGGTGTGAACAAGCCGTGACATCTACTTAAAAATAACATTTTGTTTTTTCGTTTCTTCGGCGCTTTTCTCCCCGGGGGACTCGGAGTGTTTAGGAAGTTAAGCAGCCAAAAGGACCATTTTTATGTCTATGTGGTGTGACAGGGTACACGATTCTGTGTATGTCAGCGAGAGGTTGAAAAGGGCAGCTTTCCCTGGCTAGGAAAGGGTTAAGCCTGGCCAACAGGTAAACCTCCTCTCTCTCTATTAATTAGCCTGCACCTGATAGTGACTGGGAGGGAGTGAGAGCTCAGGGTGAGATCCAGGCTGCACTGGATGGACACAGACTGGAGAGTGTCTGCATATCTGGGGAATAAGGTCTGTCAGAACAATTGTTTGTATTGGACTGTGGTTTTTGTCCATTTTTACTGGAAGCTGGAATAGCCGCTCCAGTAGGACGTAGTGAGGGACACTACTGTTTAGTTAGCCTCCTAAGGTGGAGTAGGCCTTTTTGTTTGTGTTACTTTTTCGTTGGATGCAATAAAGCTGCATTTATTGCCATTACTGTTTAAAGACCAGTGACTTTCCTACAGTGGCCATGGGACAACAGTAGGCCCACTGAATGTTTTTTGCCAGTGGGAGCGGCGATCTTCCACAGTCCCCTATAGGAAATTTTTCGGGAGTTTAATGGAGAGCTTGTTATTATTATTTTAATTCATTTTAATATTATTAAAATTAATATTTTAATTTAATTAATTATTATTAATTAATTATTTAATAGACAGCCGACAGTATTGGTACGCATTGACCCGATCGGGTGACTACAGATGTGGTCGCAGCGGTGTCCATTAACGTCTTCTGTGCGATGTAACCAAACAAATAACCTTCGAGTGTAGCAGGCTTTGCAGGAGTAGATGCAGCCGGGATTCGTTTATGGTTCCTGTTAAATCCAGACGCTGCGAAAAGCTCCGCGACGCATCGTAATTAGGAATAACGGCCACGGGTTAGATTACCAGCGCTCCCTCGTGTGCCAACTGCAGCTTTATCCACCTTTGACCTTGGCCAAGGTCGGAGCACTGCCCTCGGGTCTGATACAACTTCCTTCCCGGTGACCTAATTCCAGAGGACTTCAGATCTCCTCGCCCCCCCATCGCGTTGCCCACGCACCTTATCTGGTCTGCACTTGGGCAAACCCTCAGGTGCGCTGAAGATTAACGAGGTTTAGTTTAAAAAAAAAAGTGATCATGAATAAAACACCGGCGACATTTCCGCTGTGAGCCGGGCAGGTGATAAGAATCTTAAGTTCAGGCCTGGCTGCCAATGAATAAACAGAACATTTTTTTTGTTTTTGTTTTGCTGAGTTTAGGCCCCGAGGAGGCGCAATACGGCTGTAAGATCTGGATGGCAACAAGTAATTATTCCCCTATTATGCTGAGAGCACGCCGTGGATCTTGGTAGGGGCTATTCCATGGATAAGTACAAGTGTCATTGAAAGCACACAGGAGATCTGCTTGTTATTAGGTCACTTGAAATGGAAGAAAAAAAAAAATGAGGATGATCATGTAGGTGGGGGGGGTCAGCTTCTGGCCTATTGGTTAGCTGTCTGCAGATTCAAAGGGTCACCATGTCCCAAGATTGGGCTGAGGGGTAAGCAGAAGAGGTGAATACCTTGGAAGCTATATTCAGAAGGGGCAAAAAATTGTGAGATCTTATTATTATTACAGATATTTATAGAGCGCCAACAATTTACGAAGCGCTTTACATAGCGTACATTCACATCAGTCTCTACCGTCAAGGAGCTTACACTCTAAGGTCCCCATCTCACATACATGCATAGAGGGCCAACTTTAGAGAGGAGCCATTTAATCTACCAGCGTGTCTTTGGAGTGTAGGAGGAAACCAGAGCACCCGGAGGAAACCCACGCAGCACAGGGAGAACATGCAAACTCTTTGCAGATAGTGACCCGGGATTCGAACCGGTGATTTTTTAACATAAAACAATACTGTAATGTGCGCCTTACTGTAATCCATGGTAGTTTCCCTTCTCTTTGCTGATCTTCCTTTTAAATCCTCATGTCTTCTCATGCTGGGGGAGAACTTCCCTTTGCGGCTCAGGGCCTCTTCCTGTAGTGCTGGCTCAGGTTGTGAACCTGCACACAGACACCACGTATCCATTCCAGAGACAAGGCAGTCTGCTGCAAAACAGAAGTTCTGCCCAACCATGAGAAGAGATACAGATTTAAAAGGAAGAGCAGCAAAGAGAAGGGAAACAACCATGGATTACAGGAAGGCGCACATTACAGTATTGTTTTATGTTAAAAAATCTGAGGGTTTAATGTCACTTTAAGCGCGTTTGTAGGTACAGAATGCATATTTTAGCATAAACAATATACTCTGGCGGTGAAAGGGTTAATGGGGATTTGCCGCCTGACTTGCGATAAGTGAAATACTCGCCATCTATTACCATTTATTATGCACATGCGACATTTAGGATTCTGCAACCGAAAATACTTAATAGCCCCACAGAAAGGTGAACATGGCCGCGCCAGTAAATGGGGAATAAGGAAATCTGAAGGCGTCATTATTATTATTATTATGATTACAATGCGCCATCACTTCCCCTTCCCGTTATTGTTTAATGATCTGGTCTGGATAATGGAAATGAAGGGTAATCATTCAGAGCCATGGGAAGCTCAGCGGACTGAAGAAACCCGCGGAACGTAGGTTCTGGTGTCAGCTCAGATAACGCTTACTGTGATTGATCGCAGGCGAGGCTTTCCATGGAGTGTAACCGCGCACTTCCCTGCGATCGTGCCTGGCTGAGCCGCGCTTAATTCTGGGTCCTCGCTCACAAAACGAACCCAGGCTATGTGCGGTCCACCCAGGGCCTGACACTAGGGTTGCCACCTGTCCAGGATTCACCCGGTGCAGTCCGGGTTTTGAATGCCGAGTTCGGGTTTCATGGCAGCAGAAACCCGGACACAAGATGTCAGGCAGACAGGGGCATCCAAAATTAAGATAGGAGCTACTGCCCCCCCCCCACCCCCAGGCTGAGAG